GAGCGTAGTGGTTCGGCCGGGAACTGCTCGGAGCACGTGCCTCGCACGCAGAAGGCGCTCCGAGCGGCACCAGGTGCGCTAATCGAGGACCGATTTGTGGGAACGAAATTGTGACGGTGGTATCGATAAATAGAACGTTTCAAGGCACGTACACGCGTTCACGCGTTCGTTCTTTTTAACGAATTTCGGCGCATCGGTCACGTGATCTACTCGGCGAGAGAAGGAAACCGGCAAGCAGGAATGCCAGCAGCAGCTCGTGCCGTGAATACTTCGAGGACGATCTCGATGATCGCTTCGTTGACGACTCTTTTTTTTACATTCATCGGGATTGACGGCATGGGACATGTCAATGGACACAACGTTGAGCGGAATACTTTTCATCAAGGTAAAAAGAAAATTTTCTTTTTTTTTTTAAATTTAATTTAGTGATTAAGAAATTTGGAATTAATGGAATTTAAGAATTGAAATGAAAATTAAATCTGGGTATTACATTGATGTATTTTTTTTTTTAAATCTGTTAAAAAAACTAAATTTTGTCGATGTTTGAGATATTCGATTTAATTATAAAATAAATAGAAAATTCAAAGTGATTCCAAATTTCTGATATTGTGTTTCTTTTTTCTTTCTTTTTTTTGTCAGTTTTATTTTTTACTCGAAAAAGAAAAGACTTATTATCGATCGAAAATTGTTTACAGATAAAAAGTCGATCATGGTTATTCTGTTTATTATATTGTTCAGTAAAGATTGATCGATAGATCGGTAATTGTGTTGCTAATAGTAATGAACGTTGTGAAAATTTTAATTAATCGTCCATGGAAATCTCGATGAAACATTTATAGGATTTAAATTCTATTTGAATTTTGGTCACGTAAAATTTTGATAACACAATGATGAAACATCGATCAAAATTTTAAAATTATATCATGTTCCATATTTCATATTCCATATAAAAATTAGAATTTTCTTACATAAAACTTTGGAAATAATAATAAAATTAATACATTTAATACAAATATCAATAAGTATATAATTTCTAAGAATAATTATAGTATAGAATTAACAGCTAAAAAAACATCTAGACCAAATGAATTATTGCAACGATAAAAAACAATAATTTATTACATAAAAGCAATGTAAAAAGTTTATCACAAGAAAATTAATTAATCCGAATACTTTACACGCAAATGTCAACGAAAATTCGACGTAAGACGAAGAAGCAAAACACGCGAGCTATGCGGTTCTAAACATTTTTTTATAAATAATGTAGATTCTTTTACAATAATAATTATTTATAATATTTTATCATAAATAAATTTTTCGATTAATAATACAAAAAATATATCCAATTTTCGCTGAACTTTTTTAATCTAAAAATCTTTGATTTAAATTTTCAAAAATGTCAAAAATATGAATCGTTACATTGTTAAATTTTTTTTTTTCATAAATAATAAAGAGACGCGAAACCAGATCAAACGGGTTAGTTTCACTTGCAACAGAAAGTCGTACATACCGATTTGTGAATAACGAGAGAACGTGGGGATGGAATGCATATAGTAACGCGTATTGACAGGTGAAAAGCGCGAAAATGAATTTTTGACAGGCCATCGGTAAATGTCTATCGCTACTCAACTAGTCCGACAGTTTTTCGATGGCATCGTAAGGGAAACCGCGCCAAAAATCACCTCTATTTGTATCCAACCTGCATACTTCATGACAAGTATCTCTAATGGATGGTGTATATCGGCAATTATTGTTTTATATCGTTCTCTCGATTCGCTTCGACGCTCGTTCGATCGACGAATACATCTTTTGTATATTATAATGCGTGCATTATGAGATTATGTATGAGATACGATACGAGTGCAGGAAATAACGAGGAAGTAAAGGAAAAGAAAGAAAATTTTCTATTGTTATCTTGGCAATAAAAAAATATTGAAAAAATATTAAATAATAAAATTGACTTTTAAGTCGACGAGAAATATGAAATATTTTCTTTGATTTTCATGGAATATTTATTATTCGTTGGAATTTTTTTTATTATTATTAATTGTGTTAACTCTTGGATTTACTAGTTATTTTTTAAAATTTATTTTCTTTTTTTTTTTTTTTATTTATTTTGTTTACTCTTGGGTTTTCTAGTTATTTTTTAAAATTTATTTTCTTTTTTTTTTTTTTATTTATTTTGTTTACTCTTGGGTTTTCTAGTTATTTTTTAAAATTTATTTTCTTTTTTTTTTTTTTATTTATTTTGTTTACTCTTGGGTTTTCTAGTTATTTTTTAAAATTTATTTTCTTTTTTTTTTTTTTATTTATTTTGTTTACTCTTGGGTTTTCTAGTTATTTTTTAAAATTTATTTTCTTTTTTTTTTTTTTAATGTTAAATCTTCGATTTGATGATTTAACACTACAATAGAATTTTTTCAATCATGATCAATTTGTTCGAATTTTCCTAACCTTAAATTTTCGACTTTGATAACTAACATCATACATTAAAATTTTTCCAATCATATTTATATTAACTCGTAAATAATTAATTCCGGAAAAGAACGTTAAAAAAATTTGTTTCAATCCTGCATTTTCCATCACCCAAAACATAAAAATATCGTAAATAAGTGTAAACATAAAAATACTGAGTTCGAAATAAGAAGCGAACGAGAGAAAATTAGAGGGAGGAAAAAAAAAAAATTTGTCGGATAGAAAAACACGGGTGGATCGCTGTTAATTAAGAGTAAATAGCAGTAAGAGGAAAGAAAGGGATGGAAAATTACGAACGGAAAGTGTCGTAATTCGGAGTGTATGTATAGCTTGTACAACTTAACGAACGATCCAAACTTTCCCTTCTAACGCGTAAGGTCAACTTAAGCCAAAAAAGAAAGAAAGAAAGAAAGAAAGAAAGAAAAAAAGATCCAAAATGTACTCTGTTGGCTGGAGGCGATCGTTCAACCCTTCACCGTTTCGAGCCCACAGGCAAAAAGTCATTTCGCAGCCTGTACACTTTTTACCACAGGAACAAGACATGCCATGTGCCGGTGCTTACCGTATTTCCTCGATTTAGCGCCCTCTACATGTCTCTCTCTCTCCCCCCTCCGCTCTTTTCTTTATTTCTTTCTCTCTTTCTTTCTTCTCGCCTCTCTACCCTCGTGTTCACTTTTGTTTCGAACGTTTCCATCAAACTACGCGCTTGCTACAATGCTATCTCATGTTTCTCTAATTGCGTGCGATGTGAAAATTGACTGCAATTATTGTACTATTTGTTTGAAATAGTATTTTTACCTATGATTGAATATGTGCATTGGAATTTTAAAAATTAGGTTAACAAAAGATACATTTTTTTTTTTTTGATTTATCAGAGATCAAGGATTTTCTTCTATAATTATTATTGTTATTATTATTTAAATTTATTATAATTCTTTTCTTTATGTTTCTTTCGTGTGTGGAAATTAGCTGCAATTATTACTATATTATTGTACTATATTTGAAAAATATTTTTACTTATGATTGAATATCTCTCGTATATATACATATTGAAATTTTAAGAATTAAATTAATAAAAAGAAAATTTTGATTTTGATTTTGATTTTTTTCATAAATCAACCATAAATTTCATATAATTTTGTTAAAAAATCTAGATTTTTCTTTCATAATTTTTTTACAATTTTGTTCATTTTCAAATAAATACAAATCAAAGATATACATTTCAATTTCGCTCATTAAATTTGTCATTCCTACTTCTTTTTTACAATTTTACAATTTTACAATTTCGCGTCAAACATGAATTGATCAAAGGCACATTCCCGTAAATAATGTTGCAGAACACGGCGTGTATAATATTTTATCATTAAATTCGTAACACGAAACCGATAAACTCGATAAAGTTTATAATAGGTACAATTTCAAAATTAATTCACAACTCTCTTTCCAATGATCGATACGTGACGGTAGCTATAATTCCATAAAAATGTTTCGCCAAGAATATAAAGTTATCTTCTTTTATATTTCCACGCGTTTAGTATGCACACGTGCGTGGATAGAGATAATAGAAGAAAGTTGGCTTGTCAACCTGTCGTGCAAACTTTTGTAGAAAATTAGCCTTTATCGTATCGAAGACGAGTCGAAATCCTATTGCGCAAAGTTTCTTACTGACAGTTTAAATTCTTCGCATGAAAAATATTATTGACCATCCGTATTCTCCAACCGTTTTTATCCCGCTTTCTACCTTCGATTCCTCCATTATGCTTACGTTTATTTTCCATATTTTATCTTTTTCTCCAATCGCATAAACTGGAACAGGTTAATATTTCTCGTTACGTATCTCGTTCGATTAAAGCTATAAAGGGGAGAAATTATAAAAAACAAAATTACATTCGTCTTCGTTGAAATTATTAATTGCAATTAGAAAGAGTATGCCAGAGGGAAAAGATAAATGTGTTAAAAAAATATATAATTGATGACGTAGATTAATTCGATTGCGTTTAAATTTAAATTGACTGCCCTTTTCCCATTTTAAATTTTAATATTTTTCATTTATTTATGACAATTTCGAAGAAGAAATAGCATTGCCATGACTTAATTTGATATTTAATTCGCCTAATAATTCTGAAAATACAATCCCCCTCCCTCTTAATATTTTCGTACGATTGAAAATAAAAACAGAAATATAATATTCACCTCAATTATATACGAATTGTACAAGTTTGTTTCTTTTATCATTGCTACATATTAATACGAAACAATAATTTTACGAGATAAAATGGCAAGAAACTTTGTATCTATGAACGAAATGAATGAAAAAACAAGTGTGAAACTGCACAGTGTACATATTAGGTTAGCGCGTACGGCGAGCGTCGTTTCTTTGAAGTTTGAATTTAAACAACATTCGTTAAATTTTAATCCTCCGTGTTTGAAAAAAATAGATGGTTAGAGAGAAAGAGAGAAAAATTTCTTTTTTATAAAAAATGTTTATAACGTTTACGATAAAAAATACAGAGCTTATTATTACCTTGACTTAGCACATCTGAGGTACATGTATGTGATACACAGCCATTGCACACGCACAAACAACCATCCTTTCATTTACCTCTCGCGCAGTTGGGTCCATAGAAAGCGTACAAAAATGTGTGCACGTGGTACACATTTTTTCTCTGGTCACAAAAGATAAGTTTTTGAAGTGCGTATGTGCAAAATATAGAGACAAGCATAACATGATGGTTTATCTTTTGTACGTTATAGTTATAGGCCTATAAATAATTTAGACTCATATACTAATGACAATAAAAATCACTATATCATTAGATTAAAAAAAATGCTTGCTTCGAGCAATGATACTATTCTAATAAGTCTTTTGAAATTGAATCATCAAATTTTAAAAATCAAAAAATAGTGTTA